AAATAAATAATAAAGTGCCTATATAGTGCCAACAATGAAACAATCCAGTAATACTGGATAAATAGTGAGCTGTGAAAAGGAGTAGGTGCAATAGATAGTGCACCTAAAAGACGTATCCGTATATATAAAAAGCTCATAAGATTCTAATAAAATGTTCAATGGTCAAATATAATCGTTACTGGATAAAAATGATGTCAAACTGCAAAAACCTAATAGTGATATAGTGGTAGAGATGGCTCCAGTGCCCGTGACTTCAGGTGGTAAACGGTGAGTATGTGCTTGCTCTTACCAAAAGCACAAGTAATATGCGCATGAAGTATTAATATCCAAGCAACACCCTGGTGGTCATCATAAAACTGGTCAGAACAGGAAGGGGCTCCACTGGCACACTCCTAACAGGGGAATCACTCCACACACGTCCAGCTAACCAATCCAGCACAGGGGATGGGGAAGGAACTGCTTCTTACACCTGATTCCAGCTCAGCCATGACACAAAAGGATGTCACTCTTCCTCCTTAAAATGGCTCAGTAAACAGGCCATCAAACAAGGGTATTATAGTGTAGTATATTCTTTATTGGGTCAAGTAATCAAAAGACAAAGGGAGTAAAACGAAAATCCAGCTTACATATGAAAACAAGATGGCCACCGGATCAGCATGTGGCCTCGGCGGCGTGACGTCAGCACGGCAAGGCTCCTCCCTGACGCGTTTCGTGCGACAGCACGTTTTCGAAGGGAAGGTTTTGCCGCCGACGTTGTCCGCTATTTATAACCCCCGCGCACATGCGCGAGACGGGCACCATTTTGTTGAAGTCCGGCAAGGCAGCCGGACGGAGCGATACCGCTGGGGAAAGGACACTGAGCCCACCAGGGAATGCCTTGTGAAGGATGTAGATAATGAAATAGCCAAATGGAGAAACGTTGTATGGCAAAAATTATGAAGTGTCTGAAATGTATTAAAAGAATGTCGGCCGCCATTTTCTAGAAGCACAGTAATGTCATGGAGAGTAATCTCCATTTTGTTGTAGGTCCCAAAACGTTATGATAAAAATATAAATATAATAAAGGTATGGATAGTACCTTATAAATTGTCATGTAAAATAATATTATAATATAATGTATGGAGTGTACTAAATATATTATAAGGTAATGATATTATTAAAAAATAAATCTAATGTCCAGAGGACATATATGCGGTTCATTAATGGACTCCTGTGGGACTACAAGTGAAATAATGAATTGGTAAGAAATTAAAAGAAAGAAAAAAAAAGGATAGATATGTGTGGCACCGTGAAGATGAAAATCAATTCTGAGATTATACTCATACTCTATATAATAAGCAAATAGATAAAATAATGTAATTATTCATCATTTATCCAGAAAAAAATGAATGGAAAATGAATGTTTATGAATTAAAATGCTATAAAAATAACATGCACAAAGCATTATATACCAGAATAAAATATACTGTATGGAAAAAATTACCTTGCCGGTCTTCAACATGTGTAATCACACAAAGTTATATACATAAATAAGGTGCAAAGCTTAAAGAAGGTACATATCAAAAAATAGGATGATCACATAAAAAAGGATAAAACCCTGAATAATCATATTCACAAAGTGTAAAAATGATAATTGTCGACTAAAATGTTCAAAATTAACTTATACAGTAATAGAAAAGCTAAAACAACATACTATCCGAGAGATAGCATAAACGGAATCAGCTAATGTGAATAAGAGGGGGAGGGGAGAGGGGTGAATAGTGAGCTAACTAGTATCGATAAAGCAATTTATGTCTAACTCTACATTATGCCCCAAGGGGGTCAGGGATTTGAGTCTATATATCCATTTAGTTTCTAGTTTAGAAACATCCATTCTTTTAAAATTACCCCTCCACTGGTGTCGTATTATGTCGATACCAGCAAATTTTAAACTGGTAGGGTCCCTCTGATGATAATACCTGTAATGATTGGATAATGAATGGTCTTTAAAACCCTTTTTAATATTATTGACGTGCTCCCTAAGATGATCTCTAAGCCTGCGAGTCATCCTACCTACATATTGCTTATTGCAAGGACATTCCAGCAGATATACTACATGGGTGCTGTTACAGGTTATTAATCATTCTATTTCGTACAATTTCCCCATAACATTTGAAGCAAAGTTCTCTTTGTTTTATGTAATCCATTGCAAGTGCAAATTATACATTTATTACAGGGGAAGAATCCCTTGAGACCATGAAAAAATGAAATGTTTGTAGGCGGGTCGCCCACATTGGGTGCTAATTGATGTCTTAAAGTGGGGGCTTTGCGAAAGGCTATTTCCGGTTTGTCTGGGAGAAAATAGCCAAGTACTGGGTCGTTTTTTAAAATACCCCAATTCTTCTTAAGAAATCTAGTGATGTCTTTATGTTGCATTGAATTAGTCACAAAAGGACAGACTTTTGCCGTTTTAACACCTGTATTGCCAGTAAGAAGGTAATTTCTATTTAATTTTTCTATCTATTTGATGTTAAGATCCAAGATAGCTTTGTCATAGCCTTTCTCCAAAAATCTTTGTTTTAAAATATCTGCTTGTGAAATAAAATCATCTAAATTATTACAGTTACGACGTAACCTTAAAAATTGTCCTTTCGGGATATTATATTATTATCTATTGCACCTACTTCTTTTCACAGCTCACTATTTATCCAGTATTACTGGATTGTTTCATTGTTGGCACTATATAGGCACTTTATTATTTATTTATATTACTAGTGCAATAATCCATTTGGTTGAATACTCTCAGTCTTTTATAGTGCAATACTTTATTGGTGAACAATTTTCATTAATATATGAACTTTATCTATTGGTGCAATATTTATTTTATTAGTACATTATTTATTAGTGCAATATCTTCATCTATGCAATATAATTATTATAATTTTGCAATACTGGTGTCAGAAAAAACGCCCAGATATTTTCTCTTTGCCTACTAGTCCTAAAGCTGTATTTTATACTTAAAGAGACACTTTCATTTTTCCCGTTTAGGTCAAAGTGAAAGTGCTCCTGCAAAGAGGACTCCCACTGATACTCACTTTCTCAGTGCTACCCATGTGCTTCTTGCACTGCCTCAGGGGGACAAAAATACCCAATAATTCTAGGTATTGGAAAGCATGTCACTTCCTCCTGAGTGACAGGTCTAGCAACCAATTAATTGGCCTGAGCACGCACTGCCATATTGCAAAGGAAGTGATGTCACCACTCGGCCTGACATCCAACACCACTGACAATTTTAGTATGAGCTGTGACTGAGGAGGAGTGGCCAAGGAGCACTGGCAAGGTTATAATAAGAGGGGGCATATACAGATATGCTATCATAGTGAATGGGCATAGTGACAGTGTCTCTTTAAATGATTAATGCCTCTTCAAATTCTGAAAAATGATACTTCCACCAAATTGACATACTGTACTATGATTTGCTTTACTGGTCATTTTCCTATACACCTTTTTCCCCCAAACAGAAAACATTCTCTCTTTATTTACAAACAATCTACAAAACAATAGATTTATAAGAGACTGAAGACTGGCAACACTAAAAAAAAACAAGTATATGTTGTAACTTGGCAGTTTTTTTTTTACTGTGCAATCTAGTATTGTTAGTTGCTTGGGACCCCTGTTACAGTGTGTTAAATGTTAATTACCTGTGTGCAGAAAATGAAACAGCACATTTCAAAGTCAACATTTTATTAAAGTATAGCTTATTGCATACTGATGATGGTTACCATTAGTTCTTCATTGAAGATTAGAAGAATAGTTGAATTGCACAGACAACCATCCAAATAGTAAATTTCCTTTGTAGGGTTTAGTTTGTCTTCATTACAGAGCAAGGCTGCTTGCTTCATTTTAACTAAGCTGCAGTTGTTCATCAAACTCAATGTTGTAGAAAATTCAAACAGAAAATAAACTAATAAAAACAGAATGTTTACTCAATGTCCTTGCCATTAATACTCTAATTTAAGAAAGCATTACATAAAGTCTGCATTTTTCTCCGATTAAAAAATATGAGGCATGATAAAATAAAATGTTTTATCAACTTAAAGATTTAGGCTATGTATAAAAGTGCATTAACACAAGTAATTAATTTAAATAATAACATCCTGCATCACATCATTGAGAAATGAATGAAGCAATGTTAGAATGCATCCACAATCATTACTTCTTCTGGGGGAATGCTCAGAGAATATGCACAGTGCCCTTGTAAAGATAAATGGAAATAAGTATACACACATTATGTATTGAAGTGTCTTGGCAAAATATCACTTTTTATGTTAATATTAATCTTTGTATACTTGTACTTTTGTGCTCCTCTATGTAAATGAATAGGCATTTTAGGATAGGAAAATGAAAATGATGTTGTACATTTTTAAAGGACTGTGGCCAAACTGAAAATGTCCACAGTTATTTCTGTTTATCACGTAAACATTGGTTCCATTGATAATTGGATTTTGACTGAAAAAAAAATTGTATTTTCATATGTTCAAGTTGTAACCTAACAGCAAACCTGTGCCCAAACTATGGACATTTAGGTGCTACACATTCTTCTTAACAAGCAGTGAAACAGGCACTTACTGATCTCTCTAGTTGCAGGCACTGTTCTTTACACAAGGGTTTGTGCACTACATGTATGATATGTATGAAAAACAATATACAAATGTCTATTAAGCCCAATCTTTACCACCATTAACTGTATTACCAAGGGTGACCTTGGAGTGTTCACCACATCCCGTAATTACATTAACTACCTGCCGACCGCAGATAGTCGAATGACGGCTGCACTGCGTCCGGCCAGTTCTGGGTGGACGTCATATGACAACCTCCCAGAACGCGCTCTCCTGCGCGCCCCCGGCGATCTCTGTGTCTTCCTACGGACACAGCTGATCACGTGACGTGGTAAAAGGCCAATCACAGCTGCCTTTTACCACGTGATCAGCCGTGTACAATGACACGCTGATCACCGGGAAATGCAAATGCCGGTTCTCGGCTGCACTTTCCTCACACTGTCAGATCGTGAGGAAAGTGCTGCCGAAAACTGGCAGTTGTCAGAGCGGGGATCGGCACCGATCATCAGGGTCACTGATCATCAGTGCCCTGATGATCGGTGCCCAGCAATGCCACACACAAGTTCCGCCCACCTGTGCCCACCAATGCACCCACCTGTGCCCAGCAATGCACCCACCTGTGCCCAGCAGTGCGCCCACCTGTGCCCAGAAGTGCCACCTACCTGTGCCCACCCACCTGTGCCCAGTAGTGCCACCCACCTATGCCCAGTAGTGCCACCCACCCGTGCCCACCCACCTGTGCCCACCAGTACCACCCACCTGTGTCCACCAGTGCCACCCATCAGTGCAGCCCAGCAGTGCTGCCAGTCAGTGCCACCAGTCAGTGCCCAGCAGTGATGTCAGTCAGTGCCACCTATCAGTGCTGTCTATCAGTACCCATTATCAGTGTCGCCTATCAGTGCCACCAATCAGTGCCGCATATCATTGCCACCTATCCTTGACACCTCATTAGAGCTGCCTATCAGTGCAGCCTATCCATGCCACCTCATTAGTGCTGCCTATCAGTGCCCATCAGTGCTGCCTCATCAACGCACATCAGTGAAAGAGAAAAATTACCTGTTTGAAAAATTTTATAATAGCAACAAAGAAACTTTTTTTTTTTTCAAATTTTTTTGCAATTTTTTTGCTTATAGCACAAAAAGTAAAGTGCCCAGCAGCGATTAAATACCACCAAAAGAAAGCTCTATTTGTGAGGAAAAAATGATAAAAATTTCATATGGGTACAATCTTGCATGACCGCGCAATTGTCAATCAAAGTGCGACAGCGCTGAAAGCTGAAAATTGGCCTGCTAAATAAGGGGGTATAAGTGCCCGGTAGGCAAGTGGTTAAACAAGAATCTCTGTCCCAAATGGGGTGGCAAACACAAAACTCAAACCCATCTTTCCATAAACGTCAATGTTTATTATTCTTGACTCAACCAGGAAACTGGTCATGTTAAAAACATACAGATCAATAATAAAAAGGAACAACATCAAGGTGTCAAGAAAGCACATACACAAAACCCCCAAAACTTTGTGTGGGCTCAGCTTACTTCTTCTTAAGATACATACATCTACCCCAAGAATAAGCCAGCATCCTTTACCATCATCCAGCATTTTAATTTCATCCAAAATAATTTTTTTAGTATTGGAATGGGCTTATTTGCCTCCTCCCCCTCCACTGCCATATTTGGCACCTTTTGGGAGGAGGGGGGAGTGGATACCTGTTTTTGACAGGTACCTGCTCCCACTTCCAGCTGGAAGTTTGACCCCCTCCTTGTGCATGCGCAGTGGGCACTCGACTGTGAAGCCGCAAGCTGTCACAGCCTAGTACCCACAGTTGTGGTGCCGACACCGAGGAGAGAAGAGGCAGAGAAGTGACGATGTGGGTAAGCACATTGCTGGACCCTGGGACAAGTAAGTGTGTATTTATTAAAAGTCAGAAGCTACAGTGTTTGTAGCTGCTGACTTTTAATAAACACAAAACTGACTGGAACTTTGCATTAAGTAACAACACTAATGCTGACAAAGACATGTACCTTTGTTGTACATATTTAGTCAAAAGATAGATTAACTAAGGTCTCTGCAATATAGCATACACAGAAGGAATGCTTTACAAAGACAATTGGCAAATTATCAAATTGCTGATAAATTAAATGACAAACATAATCACAGATTGTTCACAGGAATAAGTGCAAAATAACATAGAAAAGCCTATATAATTTGAGTATAATCAGTTCAGAAACTATGAAGACTTAAACCAAAAGAGTTGTGTGTTATCTCAAATCTAGCATTGTTTGGAGCTTAGTAGTACCCTAAAGCTGGCCATACACAGTTTTTTTTTTCATTCAGCCAGCGGGGTGAATAAACAATTACTAACAGATGCCTTGATCTACACAAATGAGGTAGATGAAGGAATTTACTCTGCTGGGACATTGTATTGTGACAGCAACATTTAATGCTGTCAGAATACCCTGATCAGTAGTTGCAGCTGGTTGGCTGCAGCCGATGACTAAGGAAAAATTTCCAACATGTTTCTTCAACAGAAGTCAATCAAATGATAGATTTTGGTCAAACAGGAATTGCAACACACTGAAGTATATGGCCAAATTTAGACAAAACAGATGAGTATTTGGAATGGCAGTCTGAGCACATCCGGGCCAAATCAAGCATGAGCTTCATCTAATGGACATCAATCCTCCTGATTCTGTTGCAAAGCCTGTAGTTGGAGGTTATGTTGATCAGAGACCAAAGGATTTAATCTTCCATAGTACTAGTTTCATTGTCTTCCACTCTGTAAGTATTTTCAAATTGAAAAAAATATACAGTATATGCCAACCTCTAGCTTAGTGGTCAAGTATTCTGGCAAGTAGAAATGACACAGTAAAATACTTGAAGTTATTTGTCAGCATGGTTTCAGTGCCATCTTTGTCTACCTGGTAGCACTTGTCCAGAGAAATATTTTGAAGACAACAAGGGATGAGGAGGCAATGTTTTTATTGCAGGATGAAAACCACTGTATTGTGCAGGATGATGTAAAGGATCAATGCTGTGTAGAACTGCAACTTAGACATTTTTACAGGTCACCTGTTGAGAGTTACAGAGGAGGTCTAGTGCTAGAATTTTTTATTTTGCTCTAATATTTGCGGCGATACCTCACATGTGTGCTTTGAATGCAATTTACATATGAGTGTGCAACTTACGTATGTGTTCACTTCTGCGCACGGGCATGGAGGGATGAAGGTGCTTTAAATTTTTTATTCTTATTTATTTTATTTTTTATTTTTACACTGTCACTTTATTTTTTTTTTATCACTTTTATTCATATTACAAGGAATGTAAACATCCCTTGTAGTAGAAATAATCATGACAAGTCCTCTTTAAGGAGAGATCTGGGGTCAAAAAGACTCCAAATCTTTCCATTACTTTTAAAAGTAAAAGATCAAAAAAAATGTGATCTTTTGTATTAAAAAACAAACAAACATTGTTTACATCCACCCCAGAGCAGAAATGACGTTGCTTCGGTCCTCCAAGACCATAGAGGTGATCAGAGATGATAGAGTCTCTCATCGCCTCTGTGAGCAGTCAGCCGCACCATTGGATCATTTCTCAGGGACTCTGGTTTTAACAGTAAGCCCGAGAAACACCAAGGAGCAGTGAGAAAGCCAGCCATGGCTGAAAAAAATATACCTGGATTATGGGTGATATCTTCAGCCACAACCCCAATAAACCACTTGCTAACCACAACTCTTGCTATAAGAACATAATCCTACATAGCATAAGGTAGAATCTTTTTTTGTCTCCATACCAACTAAAGATTTTTAGCCTTGGCGCTGTCCTTGGGATATTAAATTATCCTGCTTTATTAGCATTTAATTTATTTATAAATAATTATTAAATCACTGCTAAGTCATATTTTTTTCAAACAAGGAATAAATAACATCAAACTAAAAATAGGGTGAGTGAGCGCAATCTCAAAATAGCAGCTAGCACACAAGGCAATCCTCAACACCAAAAAGAAAAAATGATAAAATGGTATGCAGCGCTAAATAGTAAAACAAACATCCATATAACCAAAGCGACAGTAAATGGATAAGATGGTGTAAACCATCAATCGAACTTTAAATAGTTCCATAAAGGTAAAGATGAAAGATCGACAGTGCCACAGTGGAGATAAATATATTAAAATCCAGTCAGGCTTGTGGAAGAATCCGGTAAATTAATGCGCTTACCACAAAGACATACAAACTGAGCGTTGTATGTATAATGATGGACATCAGGGCCTGGTCAGCAAACAGGACTGCATCCGGTCACCATGTAAGACCCCCAGGAATGGTGGGAAACACTCTCCAGGGTCATCTCAGGTTTCGCCGGCAGGTCCAACGAAGTCCTCTCCCAATAGTACTCCTCCAGATCACTCCACCTTGATGGGGCTCGTAAATAACGAGCCAGGGCAAAATGGCAATAATGTGTGTTTGTTAATATAGCTAATATTGCAGTATATTACATCCTTCAATATTGTCAAAGCTTAGATATATTTACTAATTAATTATAGGAACCGAGAAATAGTACATAATCTTATGATTCCAAGAAAACCCCCCCTTTATTTATTTCATTACAGTTTGTAAATGTCATAATTTTCGCACAAACCAATTAATATCAACTTATTGGAATTTTTTTTACCAAAGACATGTAGCAGAATACATTTTGGCCTAAATTTATAAAGACAGTTTATTTTTTATTGGATATGTTTTACAACTGAAAGTAGAAAATATTGTTTGTTTTAATTTTTTTTTTATTTCCCAAAAAAAAACCCAGTGGTAATCAAATACCACCAAATAATAGCTGTATTTGTGTGAAAAAAATTATAAAAATGTCATTTTCATACAGTGTTATCATTCTAGGACAAGATACTGGCAGGATCACTAGGTGAACATATGGAAATAAAAGCATGAACAAAAAAATATCACAGCCACAATAACCAGTAAGCTTCAATATATTACATTTTTGTTTTTGGGTTTAGATACTTTTTTACTGTCTTGTACCCTTTTATTTTTTTTTCCTTCAGAAATGATCTTATTCAAAATTTACCAACAATATAAAAACTTCTTCCTTTCCATAGTTATGCATTTATACAACAACATTCAAGAGCATGCATTTATCCAAAGAAAATAATCATGTATAATATTCATAAATAAATCTCTTGCTCATAACTCCAATATATTACTCTAACATAGAGAGTCCTAGCAGCCTTTACCTCCCAAAAGAAAAGAAAAAGAAAGAAAGACTACAAATCTTTATCATTATAGTCACACCAGCCTTTACCTCCCAAAAGAAAAGGGAAAAAGAAAGAAAAAGAAAAATGTTTATCATTATAGGCCCTATGATTGTCTACGTAGCATTATACCAAATGGTACCAATCACAGGGTATTGACCCCCCCCTTATAGTCTTTCAAACCTGTTAAAGTAGCCACAGTGCTGAAAAAGTAAGCATTCATATATCAGAATAGTACCCATATTAGATAACCAGTTCTCTGGAATCGGGACAGTCTCCATTTTACAATATTTTTTAATACGTTTTACAGGCCTAAAATAATGCTGTGGATAGCTGTGTAACTACAGTACTCAATATGCCTAAAAGGCATTGTTTGGGGTCTCAAAATTTTAAACAATGATCACCCAGTGAAAATATTAGTGAAAAAATGTCCACCAATATGATGTCTACTTGAAATTCATAAAAAATTATGTTCAACTTTATATAGTGTTGCGCTACAAGGGGGTGAATTTTATTTACTCTTCTTTGTATATTTTGGACTTATGTTCATGATGGCAGCACACAGGTTTATTTATTTAGATCTCCAGAGCGTGGGGTATTTGGGAAGAGAATATTGTTTGGGGTCTAATTTAACATTAATATCAAATGCACAATTAATAATATTTACAGTATAACTGTTTCCCAGCATCTGTACAGCTTAGGGCAAAGCCAGAGC